TGTTACTGAACCTGAAGTTGGCGTTGAAGCTGCTAATGATGCTGAATTTGATGGTGTAGCCGAAGTTGATGGTTTAGGCCTTTGAATAATAAAGCTGTCGAAAGAACCTTGCACAGCTGCTTTCTTTTCTCATTATACATCTTTATGTAGAGGTCATTTGCGTTTATTTAAATTTTAATGCTTTGTTCTGTTAATGGATCCTCTTCAGAAAATATGTTCATTGCTTGCTCCATATAATATCCACAGACCTCTCACCTTTTTCATATCGTTTTAACACATCTTGTTTCTCGGCTGAGCTTAAACACTTTCTATTAGCTTTTGAAGCAACACTACCATCACTTGCTCTCTTGCTCATGTTGAATAGGGATGCAAAAATGCTGTAAGAAACCTGAGAAAGTTTTCTCCAGTTCCTGTTCCAGATGCGTGAAAACAAAAGGTCCGCCAAGCTCCGACTGTGGTTTACCACTCATTAGCAAGGCAGCTTCTTTGCGCAAGGCGCTCTTCATTTTTTTACAGTAATTTTTTTTTATAATATACAGTATATCAGGATTTATTCATATGAAAATATAATTTTATTTTATTTTATTATATTTTGGTCGTAAATACGAATGAAATAAGGACGTAAACTGAATTGGGTCCTAAATTATCTAGGGTTTCAAATACGAAAAGTTGTTAGTCGAACCGTTGTTATCTGAGGCTTCCCTGTACTGTACTGTAAAAAAATATTTATGGCACTTGCTGCGACTACTGAATTTTAGTATTTTAAAACACACAAGCATGAAAACATTTTATGCTTGTATTTATTATAACCAAGTGTATTAAGTGCTATAAATATTTGTAAGCAGGGTTATTGGCCACAAGCAACCCAGCCACACAGCTCAGCTCACATGAAGCCAACCAGTCAAGACATTAACACCACCACTCCACACCCCTGACCGACAGACATCTATGGGAGTTATATGCCAGAAAGGTATTATACTAAGTCACTAAACAATCAGGAATAGAATGATACACAACCTTCATATAGTGTTGTGTTAGAAGCTCGTTATATCAAATTTTTCTCCTGGAGGGGGGGGGGGGGTACCCAACCGTGTTTAGGGCTTAACCGTGCAAGAGAACTGCCCCTTGAGCACAGTAAAATGATCGTCTGCTGGCTAAAAAAAATACATGTACAGTACTCAGGTCTACACTGTGGTATTTTGACATAACTTAACACCTTTACTACGGGGACACCACTTACATGGTTAATGCCAGACAATTTTATTCAGCTCGGAAGACACAAGCACACAAGGGGCTAAATGTACACCAGTAGACACCACAGACAACACCATTCACAGTTTTAACCTTTATGAACTGCCTCAAGATTAATCCCTCAAGTGTTCACCTGAAGATTAATCCCCCCAAGTGCTCACCTGAAGATTAACCCCACAAGTGCTCATCTGAAGATTAACCCCACAAGTGCTCACCTGAAGATTAACCCCACAAGTGCTCATCTGAAGATTAACCCCACAAGTGCTCACCTGAAGATTAACCCCACAAGTGCTCATCTGAAGATTAACCCCACAAGTGCTCACCTGAAGATTAACCCCACAAGTGCTCACCTGAAGATTAACCCCACAAGTGCTCACCTGAAGATTAACCCCCCAAGTGCTCACCTGAAGATTAATCCCCCAAGTGCTCATCTGAAGATTAACCCCACAAGTGCTCACCTGAAGATTAACCCCACAAGTGCTCACCTGAAGATTAATCCCCCAAGTGCTCACCTGAAGATTAACCCCACAAGTGCTCACCTGAAGATTAACCACCCATCTTAACCAGCGTGAAGTTTAACTACTCTAAAACTGTCTTGTTGGGTGAGGTGGCTAATCATCAGGTGAGCCATAGAAGCTGATTGCATTGGTCTTGACTACTTTACTGATGTACAGTCACCCACAAGTATCCGTACATACCCATGGTTCGGTGCGTGTCGGATTAAACAGTTTCCTGGAGAGAACTGTCAGGATTCCTGTTAATTTTGTCATTCTTACATATATGTTGTGTATATTTGACGAGTTAAACTGACATGTTTTATGGATGAATATATATAAGTTGTTGCTGGCTGGTACTGTCCCTTCCTGCCCTCCTCCATCTCCCAGCCCATTTAGTTTTATGATTGGTGGAATGTATCAGTGTGGTACCGGGCGGTAAATAAAAGCAATGGGCACAATTTGGTAATGGTGAATCAGTTTTATGAATAATGGTTCCAAACAGCAATACCAGTAAATGACTCGGTGTTTGGTAACATTTCAAATGGTACCATAAGCACATGCAGTTTTATCCAGTACTTTAGTTGCTACAGTCAAGCTCCATCACAACCAATAATACTTGTGTTGATACAAAACTCCCTATTAACAAAACTTTCATTACTCACAGATTAAATTTCTGTATGTTTTTTCCCCAAACTTTATAAACAATGTTTCTTGGATTAAAAAATACTCCAAAGGCAATCATAGTAACCAAGACTAACATCAACTTTGGGAAACATATGAGAAAGCTTTTACATTGTTGGTCAATGTTAATATTTTGTTAAATACCATAATAATTATATAAAGCTGATAATTATGATTGTTGTTTATTGTCTAACACAGACCCAGTTTGGCAGCTTCTAGAACTTCCAGACACTGCCATGCCTTTTAGGGGCAAGAGTGAGGTGTAGGCGTATGGGGAAACCACCTAATAACCGCCCTGCCGTGGTCGGGATCGAAGCCTTGCAGATTCTGTGAGCAGGCTTAACCCTGGCATGGTGTAGCGGCCGGATGCACTAGACCAAGTCAGGCCACGTGTGTGTATAGTTAGTTTGTAATTTTTAATAATGTTTCATGTTACATTTAAGGTCATGAAGCATTAATAAAGGGTCCTATTAAGCGCTTAAGCTGAACACAGATCTGCAAATAAATTGAACCGAGTATGTAGTGTTTGTATGGGATTATTGTGTCTCAGTAAGAGGGCAAGGGCGAGAGAGAGAGAAGTTTGGCTGGAAACAGAGGGGAGAGAGAGGCAGGATTGGGTGGATAAGGAGATTGTGAAGTTGGGCGGAAGGAAAGGTGATGGAAGGGGGCGGGAAAACTATGGATGGTGAAATACAGGCGGCACATTAAGGCGCCGTCACACCTTATGACAGCAGACCGACGGCTTTCACTCGTGCCCGGTGCGGCCGTTTATCTTCTACTCCCAAAAACAACACAAGTGACTTGACTGCAACCCTTCCTTCTCAGACTGGTGTCTCTCACCACTGGGAAATTTATATACAGTATTATATTTCTGTTAGGACAGCCTCTGTCTTTCACAGCCAGCAAACACATTATAAAATAGGTTGTTTTTTCTCAGGCTATACACAGCCCAAAGTGAGCAGTCAAATGAAAACATAATATTTATTTGTTATGGTTATATTATGTTTTGTTGGTAGTATAAATTGCCTTAGCATATAATTAAGTAATTAATTCTGTAAAACTTTTAGATGCTTATATTTTTTAGTAGACTATCAAGTAATTTATCTTACATGACACCGTTACTTCCGTGGGTGTCCTCAGTATCCCTTAATTTCAGAAGTTTATGTGATTTGATGGTCCACTGAAATAGTGGATTATGTAGAAGCTTGACGGTAAATCTGGCCAGTGTGATAGTGACTTCAAGAAAGAACCAGGGTAGGCCGAGTGTTCCTAGGAGAAAGTGAGAACTTGGTAGACAGACAGACAGGTTTGAGAATAGAAAGGAACTTTGGGGAAAAAAGATGAAGGTGAGTTAGGAAGGATTTATTGATTTGTTGTGGTTAATGGCTGTTGATAAATGGTTTAAAAGCCAGATTGTTGAGCCTAATTCGCCTCTTTTATTTAGTAAGACATACCAATACCTTATAACCTTTACCTGAACTGATATAATTAGAATATAAGACAAATAAACATTGGAAATTAGTAATTGTAATAAAATAATAATAATATGAATATTGACAATCACAGGCTTAATAATAAGGAGATATATGCACATAAAAGTAATGTGCAATGCCAGTCTGTTTTATTTACTGGCTGCAACTGCTGGATGGTCATTCCGGCCAAAACAGACAGTGGGGTGACGGAAGTGCTACTCTGAGCCACGAATTAGGAGGGAGGCTTGGGGCAGACTGGAAGTGCACTTGAGCCATGAATTAGGAGGGAGCAGACAGTGGGTGACGGAAGTGCTACTCTGAGCCTAGAGGAGGCTTGGGGGTGGGGGCAGACAATGGGTGACAGTGACGGTGACTGAAGTGCTACTCTGAGCCACGAATTAGGAGGGAGGCGTGGGGGTTGGGGCAGACAGTGGGGTGACGGAAGTGCGACTCTGAGCCATGAATTAGGAGGGAGGCTTGGGGGGGGGGTAGATGATGAATTATATCGTACGTATGGACACGCGGTTGAGCAGTGTTACCAGAACAATATGGGCGTATTAACCTTTAAGGTCTATACAAATAAATGCTGTACGTGTGGGTGACTGTTCACTAGTGTTTGTATATTACAGTACTGTACTTAAATGTACACTATTAAACGATTATGTACTGTATATACAAATTAATACATCATCATTTTGTATTAACACAAATACAGGAACAAATTTTCGTGTGAATCTCTACAAAATGTCTTGTAGTGAAGAATTTAATCAGTGTAGCCACCATTCTGTCTTAGCCACCAACTCTTGCAACCTTGAACACCAGTAAGCTTCAACCAACACAAATAACACCTTACAGAAGAACGCTTACATTAATAACAAATTAGTATATAAAACATGATCAGTATCATATAGTAGTTATATATTGGTTAATGGTCAGTTTATGTTAGTTTAGAGTGAAAGGTTAATGGGGAGGCTGGGTTGAGTGATGAATTACTCTTAGCTGTCAGTGTCGACATGTCCCTGGGGTCATGAGCCACACTTAATGGACTTGTACTGAACATGTTGACAAGTCTTATAGAAATAATCATTTTTTTTTTCAGTGTCCAATTGAATGGTTCCACTTTGCCTGTGTTGGACTGACTACAAAACCCAAGGGGAAATGGTACTGTCCCAAGTGCTCAACTGAGAGAAAGAAAAAGTAGCCCTAGAATTATTGGGTCATTTGTATAATGTTCTATTTTTTAAAGGATATGAAATTAGCCATGTTATTTGTTACATAGTAGGTATATGGTTGGTGAAGATTATATAGTCATTATGAACAAAGTGTAAATTTATTAGGAAATGGAAGTGTGGAGTATTTTTATGCCAAAACTATGTCATAAATCAGGTTTTCCTTTTTTCTTTTTCCTTTACCATACCATGATACAGTACAGTGCATCATGTTCACCTCTGCTGGGTGGTGTTTTTTACGGTAAGTTGGGTCTGACAGTTCTCCTCCTCTATGGAAATAACTGATGTGTTTAAGAGTATATCAAACCTTGATTCTCTGATGCATTGAACTGTTTACATTAACAAAGTGTAGGAGTGGTGGTAGAGTACAAGAGTGAGTGTGTTATGAGGACAAGACAACAGTTGTGAGTGAATGATTCAATGTGAGTGAGAGGCTTGTTTTGTTTTTTTCCTTTTATCACCTGTCGACGTGAGAGAGAAAAATGCCAGCAAGAGCGCAAACAATCGACTTGAATACTCATTTCTTTTACATACGACTTGTGGTTTATTTCGTAGAATGGATGGGTGGGGGGTATGGTGTTCTCCTGGTGGGTGGCTCTCAAACCTTACTTTATCACAATACACACATCACTGTCCACACTTAAGGGACTAAAGAAAGACCAATGTGAAATTATGTCTCAAAACAGATTTCAGAAGTGATGTCAGAATAATTGAGTTAAATCTCCTTCTTCAAGTCATTGTGTATTGGAAGTTTTCTCAGCGGTAGATTTTATGTGTGTGCGTGTGTATGTGTGTATATAATGTATGTATATTATTTATTTTTGAGTTCCCCTCGGTACAGACAAGGAAGATGAGTACAGTGACTTAACCCCCTTGAGTACCATAACTTAACCCCCTTGAGTGCTGTGACAACCCCTTGCGTACCGTGATTTAAACCCCTTGAGTACAGTGACTTAACCCCCTTGAGTACCGTGACTTAACCTTCCTTGAGTACTGTGACTTACACCCATATTATTAAGCAACAACATCTTCCCTCTCTGACGAAGAGTCTTCTTGAAGGGATTGTTCTTTCAAGCGGTATTTTTAATTGCTCGAATCTCTTCCCCTTTGTGTGGGACCAAGTAGGGTAATACTGTCCACTTTGCCGATGCATTATGGATCGTCTTACTCGTGTGCGTTTGTTTGCCTTCGTTGGCGCTAATATTAAGAGTACCGTACTGCGCTCTCATCGTGGACATTTTTTCCTTCCAATCATCAAGGGCAAGTCCTATAACGCAGAGAGAGTGTGATTTATTAGTCCATTTGATTGGGGAGGAAAAATTGTTACAAAATAAAAATACTTGTGGAAAGCCTGTTAGTTACAAACACAAGGGAAATATAAATTTTCTAAAGTTTCCTTTGTTATTTTCAAATATAACTAATGTACAGTAATGCATAAAATAATAGGAAATGGCTATTAACTGCTGATATGCCCTTATTATATTGTCATGGGTTGAAAATTGTGATTTTCAGAGAAAACATATTTATAAACGTCACAATTTCAATATATTTTATAGTGAGACGGTCATGTTTATGGCAAATGTTTTAAAAAGATTTTATTTATCACATGCAGTGGCCGAACCTACTTTACCGAGACGGGGGAAGCTGCTGTGAAGTCCTCTGTATTAGCCCAAATACTGCATCATATATGTTTTAAGTCACATTATCATTAAATAATCAAACGCCATCTCCCAGTGAGCCTCTTTTATTATGCACCTAATTCAGCCAAATAGAAGTTTACCAAAACGAAAGACTGTAATTGGTGATAAAAAATTAGAGCCTGCAGTATTTCACACATTATACCATGATCCACTGTATCAAAGGTTTTTTTTGTATGTTATGTTACCATCCTTGTAACAATGCCTTCGCAGTGAAATTTGCCTGTACCCATTTTAATATTTCTAGGCATAAACCTTCCCTGTTTATATTTTCCAGACAGAGACTCACTTATAAAATTGCTAAAAAGTTGCATTGAGTAACTTAAATATACTTACCCAATTAGTACCAGCATTAGTAAGATGAGATGACTCCAGCAGCTTGTCTTTGGCAATGACAGGAAACACTGCTTTTGCAAAAGTCATAATATGGGCCGTAAAACCAATAATGTAAAAAATAGATTTATAAAATTACCAATACGTGTTTCTTTGTACATTAATCGTATTGACTATAAATATTCAATAATACTAACAAAATAATTATGAAGGTGACGAAAAGCAGCTACTCGCTACCTCTTCAAATTTCAGTAATATTAGTTCATTTTCCCTCCACCACACTCCTTCGTGCGCTGCAGTAAAAGGTCCCTCACAAAATAAGGTTTTTGACACGAGGACCCTCTTCAAGGCAAGAAATTGCTTAATAATATGGACGTTAACTGCTTGAGTACATTGACATAACCCTTGAGAACTGTGACTTAACCCCTTGAGTACTGTGACAATCCCTTGTGTACTGTGACTTAACCCTTGAGTACTGTGAACCCCTTGAGTACTGTGACTTAACCCCTTGAGTACAGTGACTTAATATCTTGAGTACTGTGACTTAACCCTTGAGTACTGTGACTTAACCCCCCTTGAGTACAGTGACAACCCCCCTTGAGTACAGTGACAACCCCCTTGAGTACAGTGACTTAACCCCCTTGAGTACTGTGACTTAACCCCTTCAGTACAGTGACTTAACCCCCCTTGAGTACTGTGACTTAACCCCTTCAGTACTGTGACTTAACCCCCCTTCAGTACAGTGACTTAACCCCCTGAGTACAGTGACTTAACCCCTTGAGTCCTGTGACTTAACCAACCCCTTGAGTACTGTGACTTAACCCCCTTGAGTACAGTGACTTAACCCCCTGAGTACAGTGACTTAACCCCTTGAGTCCTGTGACTTAACCCCCCTTGAATACAGTGACAATCTCTTGAGTACAATATCATTATATTACAAGGGAATTGTTCACATTGGAGATTTTAAACTTGGTACTGTACTCAAGGGGTTAAATCATTGTACTTAAGGGGTTGAGTCATTGTACTCAAGGGGCTAAATCATTGTACTCAAAGGGTTAATTCACTGTACTCAAGGGGTTAAGTCATTGTACTCAAGGGGTTAAATCATTGTATTCAAGGGGTTAAATCATTGTACTCAAGGGGTTAAAATCATTGTACTTAAGGTGTTAAAGTCATTGTACTCAAAATGCTAAATCATTGTACTCAAGGGGTTAAATCATTGTACTCAAGAGGTTAAAATCATTGTACTCAAGGGGTTAAATAATTGTACTCAATGGGTTAAATCATTGTACTCAAGAAGTTAAACAATTGTACTCAGGGTTTTTTATAATTTTACTCTGTTAAATCATTGTAATCAAGGTTAAATTATTGTACTCAAGGGGTTAAATCATTGTACTCAAGGGGCTAAATCATTGTACTCGAGGGACTAAATCATTGAACTCGAGGGGTTAAATCATTGTACACAAGTTGTCATGACACTGAGGCGGCAGAAGGGGAACTTGTGAGTTGAGATATGAACAGCACAGAACAGAGAACATTTCAGAAGGCAATGGTAGAAGTATAAATTTTTTCTCAGTAATATATAATACATACAGCAGACTATCAAATACAGTATCAGTGTTTGTGAGAAAAAGAACAGCAGTTGTATTATGTTTGTTGTTGTATTATGCAAGATTACAGCCAAGATGGAGTATGGGATTTCTGCTAGGTACTGTATCTGAATGTGTGACAGCACAGTACTGTATATATATATATGTTTTTCTCAGTGTTTTTTCTATATACTGTATACTGTACCTATGTTCTGTCCCATATAACAGTATATATCCCAAAAGTGCCCGTGTGATGGTGCTTGATGCAGTGTTGTGAGAGGGAGCATTTTTTTCCTCTTACCAAAACTCTACAGTCTGACCTTGACAAGTGTGGTGTAAGAATGGTTTAAACATTATTTCTGGGATATTTGTGTGAAAAGGCTAAACAGTTTTCATCTGTTATTAAAACTTGTTGAGTATTGTTATCATCACATTCCTAACCTCTACTTAAGTTGTGAGAATTATTTTTTCTGGTTATAATTCTGTACCCTGTTCTCTTACCTTCACCTGTGGCAAATATTTCTGTAATCCATAAATATTGATGATTTTTATATTCTAATGTAAAGTCAAAAATACAGATAAAGGAAATGTTACCAAATGCTGATGAAATTATTTAGTGAATGTTACTGAACGTTCTGCACCATTCCATGTTATTGATGATCTCAAACAGAAAAGGAAATATGAAGAAATTTTAGAGTGCAGACCAAGAAAATCATTTGTTTTCTTTTTGGAGAATAAATTGTGATCTTTTATTTGTGTTTCTATATTAATGTTTCCTCTTGTTGAAATAATGTGGTGGATCTATGAAGACTGTGAAGACCATACCAACTATTTTCTCAACCAGTTACAGTTCTTTCTTAACCTGACAAGTTACCACGGTACATTCTATAGCAGGAAAGTATCTTGAGAGATCCTCACTTAAACACATACACACACACACCACCCTCACTTAAACACACACACACACACACACACCACCCTCACTTAAACACACACACACACAGCACCTCCACTTAAAACACACACACACACACACAACACCCTCACTTTAACACACACACACACACAGCACCCTCACTTAAACACATACACACACACACACACCACCCTCACTTAAACACACACACACACACACACACACACACCACCCCCACTTCCCACACACACACACCACCCTCCATAAACACACACACACACACCACCCTCACCTTTAACACACACACACACACACAACACCCTCACTTTAACACACACACACACACACACACAACACCCTCCTTTAACACACACACACACACACACACCACACCCTCCCACTTTAACACACACACACACACACACACACACACAACACCCTCACTTTAACACACACACACACACACACCCTCATAAACTACACACACACCCTCTCACTTAAACACACACACACACACACACCACCCTCACTTTAACACACACACACACACACACACATACACACACACACACACACACACACACACACGCCACCCTCACTTTAACACACACACACACACCACCCTCACTTTACACACACACACACACACACATCACACACACACACACACACACACACACACACACACACACACACACACACACACACACCACCCTCACTTTAACACACACACACACACACACACCACCCTCACTTAAACACACACACACACACCACCCTCACTTAACACACACACACACACACACACACACCACCCTCACTTTAACACACACACACACACACACACACACCACCTCACTTTAACACACACACACACACACACACACACACACACACCCCTCACTGCACACACACACACACGCCACCCTCACTTTAACACACACACACACACACACACACACCACCCTCACTTTAACACACACACACACACACACACGCCACCCTAAATTTAACAGAACCCCAAATCTTCTTTGTGAGAATCTATTTTACGAAATAATGTATCATTGTACAGTATATAAGTTTGTATATAATTTTTGTTATAATTAATTATGCACCTAATCCAATGGACCATGTGACTGTGGTGGAGTCTCCTGTGAGTTATGATGACACACTTGATAACATTGTGAGTGTTAGAGAATAATGAACTTATTGTTATTTACACCCAATAATAACCTGACACAAGTACTATTACAGGCTTCCTTGTTTATCACAGTAAACTGTACTGTACTGTACTGTATGGTACTGTACTGTATGGTACTGTACTGTACTGTACTGTATGGTACTGTACTGTATGGTACTGTACTGTATGGTACTGTACTGTACTGTACTGTATGGTAATGTACTGTACTGTACTGTATGGTATGGTACTGTACTGTATGGTACTGTACTGTACTGTATGGTACTGTACTGTACTGTACTGTACAGTATGGTAATGTACTGTACTGTACTGTATGGTATGGTACTGTACTGTATGGTACTGTACTGTACTGTATGGTACTGTACTGTACTGTATTGTATGGTACTGTACTGTATGGTACTGTACTGTACTGTACTGTATGGTAATGTACTGTACTGTACTGTATGGTATGGTACTGTACTGTATGGTACTGTACTGTATGGTATGGTACTGTACTGTATGGTACTGTACTGTATGGTACTGTACTGTATGGTATGGTACTGTACTGTACTGACACAAGTACTATTACAGGCTTCCTTGTTTATCACAGAAAACTGTACTGTACTGTACTGTATGATACTGTACCGTATGGTACTGTACTGTACTGTACTGTACTGTATGGTACTGTACTGTATGGTACTGTACTGTACTGTATGGTACT